GAGAAAAGGAAGTTGTTCCCTCTGTTACTGAGGGAAGTCAAGGCAGGAGCTTGCAGACAGGCCTGCTTGTCTCTGCACTGGCTCTGACCAGGAACTTACTTCTCAGCCAGGAAGGACAGTAGGAACCATGAAGGATAATGCTTGCTAGCTGGGTCTCCAGCCAGCTTATACTCAATTGGCTTTCTTATACAGCCCAGAAACATCTGCCTAGGGATGGTCTGTCCACAGTGGGCTGGTCCCTCCTATAAATTATCAAGATAATCTCCCACTGACCAATCTGCTCTAGGCAATTCCACTATTAGAGATCTCTTCTCAGATGACTCTAGGCCTGTCAAGTTGGCAGTTAGACCTAACCAGGACCGTCTTTTATATCAGTGAGTTCCAGGGCTCTGAGTCGCTTATTTAGTCTCAGAACACTGGGATGAACCTGTGGTTACTTCTTCCTCCTTCTACCATTCCATGCTTCATACAAAACAAGTAGAGAGTATCTTTCTCTACAAAGTGCTCTGGCATTTCACTGTAACGTTATCTGGTTTTTAGAGTGACGGAAAGTGCTTTGTGTTTGCCCTTATCAAACAGGGAAAGAATAAATGAGCACCAGCCCGTAGCCACACTCAACTGTTAGCAGATGTTCTGCGGTGCACAACCAGGAAGCTTTCTGGCATTACAAATGATGTGTGTTTCAGAAGAGGACCATTATTTTACTGATTTTTCCAGATAATTTAAAAAATACTGCAACTATGTTGGAAATTTCAGAAATTGAAAAAACATCTAGTTTGGGAAATAGAATAATTTATTATAAAGTACAAGTTTCATGGACTCCATCGCTGGTTCCTTAATCATCCAGATCAGGAAAAAAAAAGAGAGGAGAGTGAGAGAGGAGGGAGGAGAAAGAGGAAGGAGAAGAGGAGAGGAAAGAAGAGGGGGGTGTGGAGAGGCACTTCTGTACCTTTGCTACAGAAACACAGAGGCACTCAGTGAGTGAGGGCACCCCCAATTTTCTTAGGGTCACCCTTGAATTGTCGTCGCTTCTCTGTGCACACTTGTCCTCGACCCGGAAGTGTATCTCAGCGGCTTCTCCTCTCAGGTGCTGTGCCTGGGTCCTCTTTGGCATTTGCTCATGCTGATAAGGACCCCATAGTAATTTAGAGTGGGGGCATCATTACACACGTGACCTCAGATTCCTCATGGGTCAGTGTCTACCTGCTCAGCTGCTCATAGAATCTGCCTCTGTTCTTCCTCCTCACAGAAATTCCCGGTTGCCCCCTTCCACATGCTTCTGCCTGAATAGTGAAGAATTGTCAAGAGAGCCTTTGGGAGTTTTCATTCATTAAGGAGTCCCTGCTTGCTTCTCTACAGTTCAGAAAAATCTAAATCCTAATTCTTAAGTCAAAGTTTGTGGAAAGGATTAGCAACCCCCACCTCTCTCTTTATTACTTTTTCCGTGTTCCATGTATTTTTTCCTACATGTGTGTAGGTGAACGTGTGTGGATGCACAAATGGTGACTTGAAGTTGATAATAGGAACTAATCTCATCACACCTCCTCTGTACACACTGGAGCAGGGTCTCAAACCCCTAGTGCACTAATTTAGCTAGTCTTGCTAGCCAGCTTGCTTTGGGGATCCCCTGCCTCTGCCTTCTGAGGCTGGGGTTACAGGCAGCCACCATACCCTCTGGGCATTTATGTCGATGTCTAGGGCTCCAAACCTCCTCCACTCTCGTTTGGCAAGTGTTTTAACTGCTGAGCCATCTCCTCATCACCAGCAACATCTCTTAAATAAAAATGAGAATCCATCAGCCTAACCTGCCTAACTCAGCAAAAGACCTAGTAGATTTTATTTTTCAGAATGGAAATGAAGTCTGAGGTATTTCTGAAATGACTGACCAGTGCCTCCCCTGGTGGAATGGATCTCACAGACTTTACATGGCTCTTGACACTTCTCTTATGGTCTCTCGGGAGCCTGCCAGTTCCCGTTACTGGATGTAGTTGGGGATGTGTCCTAAAGGGATACAACTCTCTTTAGCACTAGAAGGATGCGGGCTTCTGTCTCTCAGATTGGCAATTCATTAGGAAGAGACAGGAGTTTGGAGGTCTTTGTTGGCTAGCATCATGATCTGTATTAAAAGTGTGTGTGTGTGTGTGTGTGTGTGTGTGTGTGTGTGTGTGTGTGTGTGTGTGTGTGTTTATTGTGAATCTCAGAACAAGCTTGAATGGCTCATAGGTTCAAGAGGAAACAGCGAGATGACAAAGTCTCAAGACGACATGTGCAACCAGTGTATTGAAATCTAGACTTGACATGCACTTGGTCCCCAGTGACCAAAGAAATGACGCTTTCTAAAATCTTCTTTTCCTTTGGGGAACCAAATCCATTCCAAGCTTTTAGGCAGATTCTACAACTCTTAGGTGATGTTTAAGAATGAACTACAGCAATCTACTCTAGTTTGAACTCCAGTCTTATCATCCACTTTGACATTCCTCTGCTTCGTTCCACCCACTGATAAGCAACCATTCTTTCAGGACCTTGGGGGAACAGATGAAATGTGGCCTGCTGCTGTTGTACAACTAGTTCCCCTTCTTCCTCTGTTCTAGCTCCCTTAAGTCAAAAGAGAAGAGGACTTCTAGAGGGAAGAGCAAATGGCTTTCCTGAATAGACACTCAGTCCTCTGTGCTGCCGCTGCAGCTTCTCTGACTAATAATAATACAGCTAGTGATTAGAAACCACATCCCAGTGCCAGTAACACCTATTAATATCTGCCATCTGTCTGTTCATATCTATCTATCGTCTATTATTTATCTATCATCTATCTAATCTACTATCATCTATCTATCTATCTACCATCTATTTATCTAATCTACTATCTATCATCTCTTCTATTTTCCTATCTGCCTGTCTATCTTATTTATTAAATTAATTGCAAGATTTCATGAAATGGGTATTTTCTTTCATGTGTGACTGGTGGTGCCCATGGCAACCAACATCTGAAAAGATTACAACTCTGGGGAACAGCACTGCCTTAGTCTCCCCCAATTCCACCTGTAGTCTCCCGCCTCCCAGTAGAAGCAGGGAACTCAGAACCTTTGGTTTTAGTGGTTAAACTGTCAGATGAGTGTGTGCTAACTTTCCTCTGTTCTTTTTCTTTGTCTGTGGTTTCCTATGGGCACACACTTCCTTTCCTGTTACCAGAGTGGAGGTAAGAATCCATTATTATTCCACTGTTTCATGTCACTTGGGGTTTTTATGCGATGCACCAATGATTTTTCTACTGAGCACTATAAACTTTTTGAACATTTTTAATGTCAAAAGTCATTTACTATTTTATAAGATGATGAAAAAATAGAGATAAAGGTAACTAATGTCAAATGAATATTTACTGTGTGTCAGATGCTCTACACAAGTTATTTACATCCTCAAGATATCCCTGTCACATAGGGACCATGATTGTCTCCATTTTCAGAAAAGAAACCAAGAAACTCTTTGCACTGGAAACCCACTCAGGTAGAAATGATGCAAGTTTGAAATGCAACTCAAGACCCACTCCAAAACTCTCCTTCTTGTCTTTTTCCAAAAGATTAAAAAATATCAACTTATAAAAGTTTTTATCTATACTGTTTTATATTAAATTGACTTTCATAAAAACTCTATGTGGTAACCTGGCATAGAAGTTCATGCCTCTAATCCCAGAACCCCAAAGGCTGAGTCAGGAGGACCAGAAGTTTAAGACCAGACTGGGCTGCATAGTGTGTTTGAGGACAGCCTGGGCTACATAATGAATATGAGGTCAAACTGTACTACATGACACTTTGTCTCAAGACAAGCAAATGAAAGAAAAAAAATACTAATCAAACAATTCGCCAGATATGGTGTTGTCTACTTGTCAGACATAGAACACAAAACCAGAAGGATCAGAGTTCAAAACCAGCTTTGGCTTAATGAAACCCTGTCTTGGAAAACCAAAAAAAAAAAAAACAAGTGATTAAACAAACCTCAAAAGCTTTAAAAATTCTATGGTATAGCATAAGTACAAATAATTAATCCATAATATCAATAATGGCCATTACAGTTAGTGTTATGATACCTGTTCTCATTTTAACATTACAGGGATTTTAGGGAGAGGTATTATTATTATTCATACTTTCCACACAAGGTACCAGATGCAGCAAAGGTTGTTAGACACAGGTCACAAAGTGATAGGCCTCCATCAACATTTGGACAGACTCCAGAACTCAGACTCACAATCACTGCACAGCAGTGTCTTACCAAGGGGACTAGAAACTGAGAATATAAAATCTAGACACTGATTTGAATTCCATGGAGTAAAATAACTCGATGCACAATAACATGTGGTTCCTTCTAAATCTCATCTCTGATAGACAGCTGTACCGTTCTGCTGTGAGGCGACTTATTAGTTCTTAAGTGGTTCTCACAGTTCGTAGAGGCAATAGACTGACCTCTCTCAGCAGTGAAGAACTCAGTAGTAAAGCCCAGTGTCTACTTAAGGGCCATATGATGTGAGCACAGTATGAGTTGAAACACAAGCCATTTGACAATAAGACACACACGCCACCTTTTGTTCCCATGCCTGTTAACATGATAAATAAATGCTAATAATAACTGTTCTTCATGCCTTTGTTACAACCAAGTACTCTATTCCTGGAAATACATTAGAAATAGAGACACAAAACCAATTTTACTGTTCCATGCCCCTGGAGGATTTATATTTTCCTGCACATAAATATTAATTGTAAGATAGCATTAATACTGAAATAATAAATTCCAAGGGCTTCAAGAGTAGACATAGATCATCTTCATGCAAGTGAATTCAAATAAAGAAGTTTAAGCATGCTAGTAGATAAATAAATGCTAATCAAAGAATAACTTCTAACTGGATGTGGTAACAACACAGGTCATCCCAAGCCTCAGAAGGTTGAGACAGAAGGGTGTGAAGTTTTGAGGCTGGCTAGGCAACAAAGTGAGACCACATCTCAAAAAATAAAAAGAACCACCCCATCCACTTTTCTCTTGTGATAATGTAAACACTCTCAAACTCTGATGATAGTGAGAAAAATCACTGGTTTTATAATTTTCAACTTAGAAATTTTTATTAGTCTTAAAATGGTTGTATCTATAGACAAAAACATCCACTTTTAGAAATCTATTCTAATGAAATAATAAGATTTATGAACACTAGTCACAAGAGCTGACACTCATGGATATAAGATATAAACATTATATGTATCTACTAATAAAGGAAATTGATTAGAAGCTCTGTTTTTTTTTTCTTAAGGCACAGGCAAAGGTTTATAATATGCTTGAGGCAAAAATGCGGGATGCAAAAATATATTTACAGTTCAATTCTGATATTTCTGTATATGAAGAATATAACCTATTATACACAAATATATGATATATAAAATACCCGTCTAAAGGACTGGTATTATTCATTTTTAGTTTATAAATATATCTATATTTGTTTTTATTTGTTCTTTGAGAATTTCATGTGGTATATTTTTTTTTTATCACATTCTCTCCCTGTTTCCCAGCTCCTCTTAGCTCCTCCCCGACCTCCTTACCCACCCAACCTCATCATGTTCTTTCTCTCTCTCCGCTTCTGGGAGAGACAAAATCAATTTTCTCCATTTCTTTGGTTTTTAATAAAAAGCGTTTCTTCTGTATACTCTGGTGCATTTTGTATAGAAAACAGCTCTTAGCTTTTGCTCACAGGAAGCACGAGAGGTCATGTCCTCCTCACTGAGAACATTGTGCTTGGCAGTTCAGCAAAGTGACATTTGATCGGTATGCTGCAGCGGAGGTTGGCTAACATTTTCTGTAAAGGGTCAGATATTAATATGTTCGCCCAGGGAGCCACACAGACATCGCTAAGGCTGCTGGGCCTGTCGGTTTAGCACCAAACAGCCATGGGAAGTGTATCAACAAGGACAGTGGCTTCTTTTCAAATAAAACTTCATTTGTGGACAACACTTGACACGCATGTCATTTTCATGCGTCTAAATATTCTTCTTTCAAGTTTTTACAACCCCTTAAAATGTAGGTATCATTCTTAGCTCTCAGGGGAAAATAAAAAGTCTGTAAAACAAAAGTATAAACTTTAAAATATGAACAATATGAATGCAGCCATATATAGGAACAGGTTAAAGAGACTTTTCGTAGGACGCGTTGACTAGTGTTAATAACAACGTAGCATTCTTTAAAAAAAAATTCACTGAGTAGATTTTAAGTGTTCTTACCATAAATCGTAATACGTATCTGAGATAATACATGTTTATTAATTTAACTTAGCCATTCCATGGTACATGCAAATTTCAAAGTATCATGTCGTGCACACTATATAAATTTCTGTCAGTTAAGTGTTAGTTAAAAAGAAAATTTTGCTTAAACAAAAGACTGAAAAATGTCATTCATCTGCTACTTTATCATTCATCATGCCCCTCATGGTACACATATGTGAACATTTAAATTGGTTTTAAGTACATCTAATTATGAGTAGCTATAGTTGACCACATTCCAAGGTTGTAAAATATTATCAATTTTTGAATCTGGGTATTTCTTTAAGAATTGAATCTGACAGGTCTGGAGGTGTATTTGCTGGTCTCTGCCTTAGCAAATGAATCATGTACAGACAACAGGCAGCTGCTTTGAAGACGAAATGGTTCAGAACCTCGGCCGTCACCTTTGTAGGGGAAATGCGACAGTCGCTATGTAAGGGAAGATCCAAGGAGAGGGACAGCTATCAGGTGTACCTCCACTCCAGGAGGGCCATCATAAACCAAACAGGACATAGCTGGGCCTCTGTATACGCCTTTGGACAAAGTTCAAAGGGAAGAGATGGTGCCTCCTTTATAGAAACGGGAAGGTAGTATTTCAAAATGTGATTCAGACATGCTTTAGTGGAGAGAAAAGGGAGGAAGAATCGCATGAATATTCCATTCGACTTCAGGGCCGTCCTTCATAAGAGAAGGTGAAGGAGAGGTCTGGGACCAAATACCCATTCTTGTCACTACAGAAGATGCATGACCAGGTTTGGATGGTCGGGAGGTAAAAGAAGAATGGGTGCCATATGCAACATTAACTTGTAAGTTTAAGAGATTGTCTTTTATTTTGTTTTTATTTTATTTTTATTTATTTATCTATCTATCTATCTATCTATTTATTATTTATTTATTTATTTGGTTTTTTTCGAAACAGGGTTTCTCTGTGTAGCTTTGGTGCCTGTCCTGGATCTCTACCGGAACAGTCCAGAATAATCAGCATTCTGTATTCTGTAAAGGGAGCTCTGTGACCTCTGCCCCACTGTTCAAAAGAGCAGCAGAACCAGCTGCCCATAAGACTTCCCCGTCAGTGCAGAAACTGTGCTAGAGACACAGCTTCAGACAGGCAGTGCGAAAGTCCACAGAAAACACGGGGGGCGGGCTTTCTATTCACCTCAACTCCCAGTTTTTGCTAGGGGCACCATTCAGCATTTTTATTATTATTACTTAATGATAGATTTAGAAAATCTCTGAACTAAATAATTCACTTTGCATCCATTTCTGAGATCTAAAATCTGATAGCTGTGTAAAATTTGAGTTTTATAAATATCTTCCAAAAAAAGGGAAAAAAATTAAAATGCCAAAACTGTAACTGGGCAGTTCATAGGTAGGTAGATAGAGGAGTCATCTCTCTCTCTCTCTCTCTCTCTCTCTCTCTCTCTCTCTCTCTCTCTCTCTCTCTCTCTGTCTGTCTCTCTCTCCCTCTCTCTCTCTTTCTCTCTCTCTATGTATATGTATATATGTACATTAATAATGTATATATATATATACATAATGACTACTACTTTGCTTAGGCTGTAGATCTAATCAAAGCATATGTGTGCTATCTAAAGCTTTTACTCAAAACCTGTTCAACTCCCCTCTTTTGCTCTTTTATTCTTCGATGACTAATTCCTTAATTCTGAGATCATGTTTATTGGTTTTCTTTTTCTTTTCCAAAAAGATGTATTGTCTGTGCAGTCAAAGGAAAATCACCAATGTATGTTATATTTCAGTGTTCATAGAAAAACAAAATTTTGCTTCATTCAGTAGTTAACACTCAACCTTAGAACCTGGAAAAGTCATCCTGAGGTCAGAGACATTGTGAGAATTATTCATCTTTTACAGGGTTCAGGGTTTTGGTTTTTCTCCTCTTATTTACTCTCATTTTACCAAGATGTAACAATATGAGACCCATGGCAAACCAGGATGAGCTACTTCTGCTCATTAGTTATTAGTCTGTTCTTTTTGAGCTACAACAACCACGACTCTATTTTTTTGCTTTGTGCCACCACAGACTGCATTCACTAAGTGGGTTATTTTCTTATTCAAGGGTTTTTATTTTAAATATCTCCCATGAATTAAATGGTACATGAATGATTTTGCTGGCTAATTAGTAAATGACCAATCCAAACTGAAACTATCCTGTGAAACATGATTTTATTTGGATTCATTGTATCTTGTCTAATGGGTTTGTTTCAAAGACCTGACAGTGTTGATTTATAGAGTATCAATTTTTCAAGTTCCAATAGTGTTCCCTAACCATTTAAAAGTTCACAAATTTCAGTGTGTTGAATTTTCTTACTCGAAATCTTTTATTCAATGGTAATGAAAAGCTAAGTCTTAATAGTAAATATCTAAAATTAATAGTATACATTTAAATGAGAAATATGATTGAAGTTTTCCATCCTGTTAGCGATTGAGATCTTACGGAAACCACAAGAATATGGAAGACCATGATGGTGCCTACACATGATAAATATTCAATAATTGTCAGTCTATGAGTTATTATTGTCCCAGTAAACAAGTGACATAGCCAAGATGGGAATGTACTAACCATTTCGGGTACTTAGCTACGGTAACATACAGATTGTTCTTAAAGCCGCCGACTTTTCCCATGGGAACAATTGATATGTTCTCACATCTGTTAGCCATCACAATTAATGTCTTTCTTGGATTATATCAGTTTATGTGCAAGAAGTGTGTGAGCTGACGGTAGTGAGAACAATTATTCTGTGTACAACATAAACAAACAAACAAACAAAATGCCCAAATTCATTCAGCTCATGATCATTTCCAAAGCTTTCCACAGCCTGAGGTATCTAGAAATGACACTGTTGCTGCTGGAAACGGGGAGAATATTCAGATGCAATGTTTCAACACGTTTGCCAGGACAGTTTCTCCCTATTTCCGTGATGCCGATGTGAGGGGTGGTGGAGGCAGAAAGGATGCCAAGAAATTGCCTATGACTGGTTATGCGGTTCATCACTTCTTTCAGTAAATCCCAGAGAGACAGCAAAGGCTACTGCGCCCAGTACAGAGGAGAGGTGTGTGATACAGTTCTGGCCAAAGATGCGCTTGTCTTTTTCAACACCTCCTACTCGGACCCTGAGGAGGCCCAAGAGCTGCTGATCCACACTGCGTGGAGTGAACTGAAGGCTGTGAGCCCACTCTGCCGGCCAGCTGCCGAGGCTCTGCTGTGCCAGCACCTCTTCCAGGAGTGCGGCCCTGGAGCAGTACCTACTCCCATGCCCGTTTGCAGGTAAAACTTCGAGAATGAGGAAGAAATTCCATTCTTTGTCTGTATGCCAACAGTTTGCAAAAGAAGACACTGTTATATACAGGATGCCTAGCAAAATTTGCCATTCATCCAAAAGAAGTAATTAAAAGGACGAAATTTCTCCCATTTAAACCATTGATGGCAACCTATGATACAAGCACTCTGAACTTACAGACTATATTAGAGTCTGGCTCAGTCAAAAGGTGTCTTGCACACCACAAAAAAAAGCCCTGTGATAAATGTGTGCATATGCACACACACGAACAAAATTCCCTCCTTGATAGGGACATAGGATACCTGTTATACTCTGCGTGTGTATGTGTGTGTGTATGTGTGTGCGCGCGCACGTGTGCGCATTCATGTGCATGCTACATAAGCTTGGGCTGCACCCAAGCCCTTACGTCTTTTAACTATTTTCCCTCTTAAATTACTTTCTCCTCTTATTATCAACCCTAACAATCTTAATTTGGAATTACTCAGGTTTGTCTTGATGCAATTTGTCCTTGTAAGCCTAAACAAAAATGAACTTCCAAACTCCAATTAGTCCAGCCAGCCTTTCTTCAGCTCAACAACCTGTCCAAACTTAACCGTGTCCCACTGGGTCATTCCTCTGGCGTCTCAGGTGGAAGTGGAAGCGGGGATGCCCTACAGGGCAGAACTCTGCTTCTCAGGGAAGGGCTGCCAAGGAACCCAGAGTGCTCCTGTAAATGGTTGCTGGAGCTGCTGCTGGATTCCAGCGAACAGAGCAAGCAGAAGTTCAGAGTGTGGCCTTTCCCAAGCCCTGCCCGAGGCCTGAGGTGATGGCCCGTGCCCCTTAGTTTGTATGTCCTTTAAATGACCGACCTTGCTTCTGTATCTTTGTTTTTAATTTTTAAAGGTTTACTGATTTTATTTTATGTGTAGGAATGTTTTCCTGCACACATGTGTGTTCACCATGCCTATTGGCTCCCCTGAAACTACAGTTACAGATGACTGAGCCAGCATACGGCTGCTGGGAACTGAACCCGGGTCTTCTGCAATGGCACCAAGTGCTCTTAACCTCTGAGCTAACTCTCCAGCCTCTGCACCTTTATTTTTAATATGAACGTCAAGAGACGATATATCAGGGACTCTCATCTAATTCATTCCAAATTTTTAAAAAAACTAAAAAAGATAGTATTACCTCTCACAGTACAGTATACCATATACTATCATGTCTTGTATTATTTACATCAAAAAGAGTCATTTCAAAAATACTTTCATGAGCAATGACACTACGGTGTGATGATGCTTCAAGAATACAAAATTTAAGTCTCACTGCAAATTTGTCCTTAGTTATGATTCATCAAGTCTTGCTCACCTTTCAACATTTCAGAGAGTACTGCTTGGCAGTAAAGGAGCTTTTCTGTGCAAAAGAATGGCTGGCAATGGAAGGAAAGACCCACCGAGGACTCTACAGCTCAGGGATGCACCTCCTCCCGGTGCCAGACTGCAGCAAGCTTCCCAGCATGCACCGAGACCCCATGGCCTGCACAAGACTGCCATATTTAGGTAACAAAGAATTCCCTCCGGACTTTGGAAGTTAAGGAAAATTTATTGTTTTGAGTAAAGTAAGGTGTGTACTTAAAGCTCCTAACATTTTTAGGCTTTCTAGGCCGTTCTAATGTTTTTCGCTTTGCCGTCTCCACACGCCTAATAGCAGAATCCTAATGTTGCCCTGATTATAGAGGTTAGCATAAAGATGCATTTCATTTGTTTTCAAATAAATCAAAGGGCACTGTTAACTGCTGCTTGGATCTTGCTTTATTTCATAGGGGATTCTATGAGTGTAACATTTTCTGGAATGTATGGGAAAATGGCTAAGAAACATCTCATAGTTTGTCAGCAGAATGGCATAAACGAATAAATAATCCTCTTTCTTAGCCAGCGATGCACATTTTTTTAAGCATGCAGAAAATAAGCCACATGTTTGAAAACGCTGACCTCACAAAACAAAACCCCGAGCCACTGCATGGTGCTTTGTGAATTTCTTTTGTAAGGACGATGTTCCCCTAACAGCTAGTTTAATTTCAAAGATGCACTCTTCACATTCGAATGCTTTTCTGTCACTCATTTAAACGCTGGCAGGGAAAGTCGCATTTGTTAGCGGTAGCTCAAGGGTCTAGGAGATAACTTAACACTTACTTAAAATCAATTTTTATCCTTTCCCCCTCAGATTATAAAAAAGAAAACATAACAAGTAAGTAATTCCGTTTGTGCCTCTGCAATCTTCTGTGTCTGTAAGTGGATTCGTGCATGTATATTTACATTACACTTCCCCGTATCCAGAACAGAATGTACTGAGCAGCATCAGCACCCACGCACAGTGGCGGGGCTCATCCCCTCCCTCAGCTTATAGCCGAGGAGAATGTGACACTCAGTGAATGGAACAAATACTATCTCCTTCCTCAAGATGTTGGCCTGTTTTATGCGTCACATGTTTGCAAAATCAGCCAAGTTTAAACGAAGACTTTTAATTCTGCAGTAACAATTTTGTGTTATGTAATTAGTTTTGGATGGAAACAAATACTATTTTTTTTCTCTATTGAGCTGTTATTTCTCTATTGTGATCTTCATTTGTAATGAGTCTTTCTTTTATTGAGAATAGATGTGCTGGTTTTTTTTCTTAATCTTCTTTTAGTCCTTAAATTTTTATACACAAATTCTATATTGATTATAGAACCTCTTGTTATTTGGACCAAGGGGAAAAAATGAAAAGGAAATAAATCATCTATAATCCTACTTCTCAGAATATTTTATTTTAATTCTAAAATTAATTATTCTACTAGTAACAAAGAAAAAATTCTTAGTATGTCATTGGAATCTCATTTTCCTGTTGTGTTTATTTATTAGTAATTCTTTGAGACTTTTCTACAACATATTCTGATCATGTTCACCCCTCTACTCAACTCTTACCAGATCCACCTCCCTTCCCTACCCACCCAACTTTGTGTCCTTTAAAAATCAAATCTTCAAGACCAATTTGTGCCATTGTTTTTTCTGAAGAATTAGAAAAGTTCTATCCTTCTGAAAAGGCGCTCAAATATAGTGGGGACCAAATCCATGACCAACTCAATGCCAGACAAGCATTCTACATCTGAGCTGCAGCATCCTAACTACTGGATTTTTTTTTTTAAGACATGGTCTCTTTAAGTAGATCAGGCTGGCCTCAAGCTTTCTGGCTTTGATTCTTCTGGAATTGCAGAGGTTGGCTCAGAGTGACTCTTCATCCATTCTACACATTGAGATCAACTGGAAAACTTTAGAAAGTGTAGCTGCCTGGGTTCCCCCACGTATACATTCTGGCGTATTTGGTGTGGAGTGCAGTCTAGGATTTGAAATTCCTCTTAAAAATTTTTTTAACTTGACACATAAAATTGGACATATTTGGAGAGGATTGTGTGACGGTTTCATTTCCTGCCTTACGTTCAAATCCAGATAAGCCTGTCTCCTCATCTACCTATTTATCATTTCTTTGAGGTAAAAAAACCTCAAGATCCTTTCTCTTAACTTCTCTGTAATATAGAATACTGTCCTCTGACTGTGGACGAGAGCAAGGATTGGTTTTCATTTGGTTGGTTGGTTTTTACTGCTGCCATTGCTTTAGGAGAGCCCCTTTTCAGTACAGTGCTTGCAATGTCAAGTGAAATCATTTTAAGAGGGTCATCAGGAGGGCCAGCAAGACAGCTCAGAGGGTAAAGGCACTTGCTGCCAATCCTGACGGTCAATCCCGGTACCCACACGAAGGAGAAAGAAACTGCTACAAGTTGAGATACTGAGCAGCACAAACTAGCTACAGATACTAATTTCCTTGTCTTTAGAAAACAATTTTGTGAGATCTTGGATACACTGGAGAAAGTTAGCTCCAACTCTTGTAAAAAGATCATTTTCTCTGCACATAAGCAGCGTATGCCTGTGCTCTCTGAGTTAAAAGCAGGGAATCTTCTCTGCTGTCTTATGGAGGGTTAATTCTAGCAAGGAAAGTGTCCTGATTACACACACCAACTTGTGTTCTATGGAAATGTATTAAGCCCTCAAATGTTCCTCATTTTATGATTTCTTTGTTAAAAAGATCTTATTACATTTATTTACTTTGTGTGTGTGTGTGTGTGTGTGTGTGTGTGTGTGTGTGTGTGTGTGTGCGCATGCGCGCGGCATGCGCGCAGAGAGGACAATTTGTGAGAGTCAGTTTCTAACACTGGGTCCTGGGAATCAAGCTCAGTTCATCAGTCTCAGTGGTAAATGCCTTTACACACTGAGCCGTCTTGCTGGCCCTGCTTTATGGTTTCTTAGTAAATTCCAAATATCATTACTAGTTCACTTTGAGGGGCAACTGAAATTTTTCTAAAAACCCTTCTTTGTATTTGCATTGTTTTTTACTTGCTCAAACATGGGAACTAGAATTTCAGCAGTTTCTGGTGAAATTTTTTTTATTCATTTTATTTATTTTAGTATCATCTTTTGTTGAAGTGAAGTATCTCCTTGAACATGCCATGACTTTGCCATATTTACATTATTGTGTGCTAAGCATAGTGTTTGTCCCTTCTGTGGAATTTCACTTCCAGGCACACTCAGCAGTGAGCCTGCCTTCTGTTTCAAACTTCTGGAGAAAAGAAATGCATTCTGGCTTACTCTGGTAATGGAGAGCTACATCTCTTCCATCCTCTTGTCCCTCCAACTTCTCTCTCATCATCTATGCATCTGAAGAGTGAATGACTGTGCACTCCAATCCTGCTAAACTGATTAGTGTGGTGGTACACAGTCTCTTGTAAGTTCCCCAACAGCCCTATGAAAGTAGGTGCCATGAACACACTCCATTCTCCATACTAGTCAATGTGAGAAACAGGTCAACTGACTTGCACCACCCCCCACTGCCACCCTCCCGACCTATGTAGTGTAGTGTGGGGTTAAACCAGTATTCAAGCTCCATCCTGACCTATGTAGTGTAGTGTGCGGTTAAACCAGTACTCAAACTCCAATCTGTCTGACTCTGGCTTCATCATCAGAGTCTAATTTTTAAATTGTTACAGCTGATGGTTCTCTATTACCTTCTTTTTCAATTTCCAAGACCTCACATGAAAAGTTTGCCTGGTTGTTCTAAAGGAGACATTGACGACTTTTCATGTTCCGTTAAGAGTAACTGTTCTTGAGAAACTCCTCCCACTAACCAAAATATTCCTAATTCTAAATCATCCAGACAACTTGACAATCCTCTTATCAGCAGTTAGATAAATGTATTCTTTGCTTCTAAAATTCACTTTCCATAACAGTCAGCTACTATTTTGGCCACCAACAAAGTGAGAGAGAGAGAGAGAGAGAGAGAGAGAGGAGGGAGAGTTATGTAATGTACTAATATTTTAATCATTTAATCATTGAAATGCTGATTGGGCCTATCTTGTGAGGGATGAGAAAGCTAGAAATTCACAGAAACTGAATTGGAAGTGATTTTAACAGTTCTTTCACACAAATTCTCCCACAGAGGGAGAATGCCTTCGGCATTGTCTCTGCAGACATTCCCTTTCCTGACTCTAATTCACTCCATTAATTGGGAGAACATTTTGGCCACATTGAACTAAACTTGGTCCCCTGTAGCTTCTAATTGCTGGTGTTTTTTCCATCCCTCTGGCTCACCCTCTGTAGCACAGACTTTGAAAATACTTGGAGACACATGCCCTATTTCCCTGTAGCTTCTTCCTCTTCCCATTAAATATGCCTAGTTTCCAACTTCTCCTTTTGTGAGCTGAGTTCCAAAGTCCTCACCTTCATGTCTGCCCTACGCTGGCAGTGAGAGATGGAGGAACGTGCAGAACTGAATGCAGTAGACAGAACACGATCCGATGAGATTTAGAATGTGGCGATTTCCTGTGATTAGGTTTGTTCTTTCATTTGTGTTGAGTAAACCCATGCTAATGGCCTAGCCATCTCTCTCTTGGGCTTGCGGGGAGGTGGCTCAAACGCAGTGTGCTTATTGTGCAAGCACGATGATGTAAGTTCAGTGCCTGGCACCCATGTCAAAGAGAACCGGGATGGCATACCCTTGTAGTGCCAGAGCTGGAGAGGCGGAGGCAGGACAGACCCTAGGACTCAATTTTACTGACTTTTGGCTAGTTATGTCTCCACTGTTGCTAGAGTTTTCCTGCCTGGCCCACAGTCAGGACAAATCTCTCTCACCCGCCAGTCCCAAGCCGCTCAAACCCGATCAAGTAAACAGAGACATTTATATTGGTTTTAAACTGTATGGCCGTGGCAGGCTTCTTGTTAATTGTTCTTACAGCTTAAATTAATCCATTTCTATTAATCTATACCTTGCCACGTGGCTTGTGGCTTACCGGTACTTTACATCTTCCTTTTCCTGATGGCGGCTGGCAGTGTCTCCCTTTTTCAGCTTCCTGTTCTCTCTCTAGTCTCCTCTCTGTTAGTCCCGCCTATACTTCCTGCCTGGCCACTGCCAATCAGTGATTTATTCATTGACCAATCAGCAACACATTTGACATACAGACCATCCCACAGCACTTCCCGTTTTCTTTTCTTAAAAAGGAAGGTTTTAACCTTTACATATCTCCAAAGTCAGCTTGGTATATTTGGGAATTTGGGCGTAGCTTCTCTTACTACTTTTTGTTGGAGGGGGGCGCTGTATCTTTTGGGGAAACAAAGAAAATTTTAGGATCATGGAGTAGTCCGTGAGGCTGTATCATCTGAGCCAGTTGTCTTGAAACGGTTTTGGATGTTGGATCATCTGGGCCATGGTGTCATCGGAGACCTTTTAGGGGGTCTTGGCTGGTCAAACCTGATGTATCTTACTCTGGAACAAATCCATAGCCTCTTGCTTTTTGTGGAAACAAAAGAGACTCTTTTTCAAAGCAACATATCCTTACATCTAAATTTTGAAGTCAAAGTATCTTTAAAATATACGTACTGGTTTAACTCAGCTTCCTTTACAATCAAACATCTTTCTGTAGTTAAGAATCCCAAAGACAACACAATCTAGACTCTCTGTGTAATAGTCATCTCTATGTGGCTTATTTTTATATTAATTTTATTGTCTCTTTAAAGACTTTATTTTTTAAAACCATGTATTTGTTTTTATATTGTATATATCATCTTTTTTTGTCTCTTTCAAGCCTACGTATATTTTATACATATTTTAAACTATTACATCTGAATCTGTTTTATTGTGAATCTATTGCTTTAAGCTGCAGC